TCGAAAAGAATCAAATTGGAGTAAAAATCAAATATTATGATTATTTTATAATAAAATTATTGATTTTATGTGTAATAATGGAATCAAGCCAAATGATTTTTGTTCGATTTAGTTTGATTCAATGACCAAAATTTCTAAATTGTTGATGCAAATAAAAGAACGATGGCACAAGATTGTCATTTTTAATAAAATTTGTCTATCATTCTTCAAAAAATCATTTCGCATAAAATTTCATTTTCAATTACACATTTTCACAATAAAATATCTTACATATAAATTCAAATATTTTTTTTATTCTGTATAATTACTTAGTGTGTGTTTGTCTCCCATTAATGTAGAAGAAATGGAGAAATTGATTGTATTTTTTGAAGAATGTGTGGTTGAAATTTAAAGTAAATTCATTGGTTTGTGTGTAGAATATTTTATTGGGTGAATGTGTGATGAAGAATTTTACTGTAGCAAACGATATTTTGGAATAATGAGAGATAAACGGGGCCTTAATTGGGTCAGCAGAAATATAAAAAAATAATATATTATGGTTACTTGGCGTGGTGCATCAAATAAAAACAATGACGATAATATATTTACCATTTTCTGCTACAATGCTTTAAAATAAAGTATGTAAGTTTCGTGAAATTTAAAGATAGAAACGAAGTAGTTGATGAAAATGTAAATTAATCTTTAATTTAAATAACACTATAAATATTGATGGTCGTGCAAGACTCGACATAGATCAACAACCACTGTTCACTTTACACCAAAGTTCCAAACATCGTTCAAGAAATTTCTACTAATCAGACACAAATGTACATAGTAAGTTTGACAATAAATTTACTGAAAAATGGATAAAGAAAGTCGTTGTACGTACATTCCTTCCTGTTGCGTATATAAACTTATCTTTTGTTCCTGACAGTCAAGCCTCCAGGCTAAAAGGCTCCCTGAAGGCTGAAACATTAGAGCAAACTTTTTACTCTCGAACCAATGCTGTTCAACAACATTAGCCAGACCTCTGCCAACGGCAAAGGAGCTGAACAGAATTGCACGAAAGCAGCAATTTTTCGAAATGAAAAATTAATTCCATGCATTTCTTAAGAACATAATAACTTTCTGTTTGTCTCCTTTTTGTCGTCTGAAATCCAAAATAATAAAAAAAGTGCCACCCGTAAGGATCCACGGTCAATGAACAATTATCATCATTATGGCTCTATATTGATGTCAGTAATGGGAGCAATGAGGCGGAGGTTTCAGCAAAACGAGACTATAGTTAGTAGCACGGAACAAGGCTCGATTGGAAAAGTAGTGAAATGACAAAAACGGAAGTCTCAATATAGGCTACATAGCCGCTGGCATTCATTCACAGTATTGACAGCACTGATTTCGCTACTCAACTGTCCTAATCTGTCGACTTGGAATACTGCTCAAACTTTTATCTCCTCGATTCTCTTTATAGCCTCCCTCATCACAATCCTCTTCTCTTGATCACTTTCTGTACAATCAGCTCCAATATATAAGAGCTTTTCCATTTGTTCAAGTGAATTTGACACGTTTGCTATCTCTGGATCAATCAATTCTGAAACTTTGTTCTCAGAAATTGCTGTTTTAATCCATTGTACAACATCAGTACCGCCCTTTTGATTGTTCAGGTACTGAGAAGGAAATTTCCCGGTAACTATTTCAAGAATGACTATTCCAAGACAAAAGACATCGCTCTTTGGAGAAACTTGTTGATACAATACGGCTTCCGGAGTTTTATAAGCAAACAGCTGTTGCACAGATTGAGTGTTATTGATCAATGGATAAAATGCATAATCATTGAGAAGTGGATCGTAATTTGAAGAAATTAGAATATTGCTAGACTTGAGATTCCCATGTGGCAGTTCATATTGTGCAAACTCATTGTGGAGGTATCCCATTCCTTGAGCAACTCCTTGAATGATTTTCAGACGAGTAGACCAATTCAGCTCCGCATGAGAAATCCCACGATCACCTGAAAAACTCCATTTTATTGTTTATTCAAAAAACCAAAGAAATAGAAAAGAGAAAGGCGCGTCCAAATGACATTTCCAATATGCATCAATCAATCCAGGAATAAGTATGAAGAACACTACTGAATTGAAAAACAAAGAATAGAGGAGAACGTGCGGTTATCTTTTCATTAAGATGATATTCCAAAATGATCTCCATTATAAAAATTCTTACCGTGTAATAGATACAATAAGCTGCCTTTGGCAACAAACTCAGACACCAACAGCTTCTCTTCCTTCCGGTAGTGGTATGCCAATGGTGTTAAAATATTCTGGTGCCTCATTGTCCCGAGCTTTCTAACCTCCGTGTCAAATGTTTCCCTGCTGACTTTATTCACATCTCTTAATCTCTTTACCACAACAGAAACCCCATTAGCCATCACAGCTTTGTAAGCTGATCCCAAACCGCCACTTCCTAGAACCTCAGCTGCAGCCTTCATCAAATCAGGCAGCCCAAATACACCTTTTTCTTCGTTAATTACAATGAGATCACCTTTTTTTCCACCTTTTTGCGAGCCTTTTCTTGACGAATTCATTGAGTCGATTCCTTTCCTGCTGCTCAAGTTCCTCTTCTTCATACTACTTGGTATGTGTACTTGCACTGTCTCGTCCAAATTATCCTTACCAAGCATCTGGAAATCATCTTCCTTTCGCTTACCCTTGAATGCTATTGTCACCACCAGGAGGGCAACTACTACCGATAGAACCACCCACTTTGCACCTGACCCTGACCCTGGCCCTGGCCCTGGCCCTGACCCTGACTCCTTGGTTTCATTGATATTGTCCTCTGCGGGTGCTTCATTTTCACTCTCTTCATCAGCCTTGCATTCTTTGGACAGAACCGTGCCACAAAGGTCGGGATTTCCATCGAAAGGCTTGGCACCAAATCTTGACATGGCTGGAGGGATTTCTCCTTGCAGCTTATTGTTGGACAGGTCGATTTTCTCCAATGATTTTTGTGCTAATGAAGGAATAGGCCCTGAGAATTCGTTTTGTTCCAGAAAGAGAACCATTAGATTCTCCAATTTTACCAAAGAATCAGGAATCCTCCCTGAAAAATTGTTTCTTGCAAGCTCAATCTTCTTCAGAGATCCCATTTTTGAAAAGAAATCTGAAGGTATTTCCCCGGAAAATTCATTCTGTGCTAGAAAGAGGGACTTCAACTTAGTAAGGCGATTGAATTCAGGCAATGGACCTGAAAAGCTATTGTTTTCCAAACTGACAACTCTAAGTCCCTTAAGATTTGCCAAAGAATCAATAGCAATATCTCCCGCTAGACCATTGTTCATAAGATACAAGTTTATGACATTTTCCGCATTACATTCTACACCTTTCCATTTCGTTTCCTTATGGCATGGATCAGTGCCTTTTATCCAGGTTGAATCCAGGGATGCAGATTCATCTAATGCCTCTTTGAATTCATAAAGAGGCACACCGTCATTGGACAAACACGGGGTATACAGACAAAAAATGAGGATAAAAATGAGAAAACAGGAAGGAAGAAAACTTGCAGCGGCCATGTTTGATTATCTGAAAGTTGCTGACACCTCCCGGCAGGACAAATGTGCCGCTGTTCGGAGAGGTTGGAATTTCTGAATCCTTTTTTTGGGATGTTGTTTGTTTGGTTGTGGGGTTGGAATCGTCTGTCATGATTATGGGAGGGGTGTGGGGTGAGTTGAACAAAGATTGGTGATAGTCCAGGCCATTCGAAAGAAAATCTCTAAGATTTTGGGGTCCAAACAGAAAGAGAGGTGTACCTTCCATTGATATTTTCAAAGGACGGAGAGACATTTAAGGTATGCTTAATTTCAATCTATATATACACCTTACATTTAAATGTCTTTATTTGCAATGTATTTTTTTCATAGTGATATTTGGATGTTCTAGAATATGTATATTCTAGGCAAATATTTGGTTCAAATATGTTACATATATAATGATGGTTGATGGGATTTGTTGACAATCATTATTTAGCATCATTATATTCATCCACTTCAAAAAGTTTTCAAAAACTGTTTTTGCAACCAATTGTCCAGATTTTGCCACATCAAACATTGTCAACAAATCTTGTCAACCATCATTGTACAAGTAGATTAATTCATATTTGGTTAGTGAATTGATTATTATTAAACAGTATTAAAAGGCTACATGAAGGATTTCTTGACATCCTTGAATGACCTTCAATTTTCGTGTTGCAAGTTTGAGTTGATTATAGCACTACACCATCACTGATAAGTGTATTTTCTTCACTTATTTGGGCCTCTAAGTTTGAGTGTTTATTGGTTATTTTGATGAATTATGGCTTTATTTTATGTGTATTATGTTTATTAAGTACAAATCGACATAAATGGCGGAATTGGAGAAAAATTGTGAAAATGAGATAAATTGTTAGAGGTCCAAAGTTCGGGGACTAAAGTGAAAATACTCAAAATTTATACCGGACCTCACGATGAAGATTTGGGAGTGATAGGGGTCAATTGGATGAGAAAAGATGCCGAATGGGTTAAATATAGTCAAAATATTATCACACATCAATTTTCAATCGAAAAAGTTAT